ATTTTTTCCTATTAATCAACCAAGTGTCATCACCTTTAGTTTGGTATTTGATTTCAAATGATGTATTACGTATTTCTAATCAATTTGGCAAAGGACTAATGCAAACCTTATTTTGTTGTAGATATTTGCACCAATCTTGTATAGAAAACATTGGTGGTGCTATGTGGTGGACTGACAGAAGATGAAGTTATACATGTCAAATTCTTTGATGTTAAATTCTTTGTACTTCAGTCACACTGACAAGATTTATATTTAAATTTAATTTCAGTAAATTACTTTAGCTCGTTAATTTTTTAGTTAAATAGTTAACATTGTTAAAAAAAATTTGTCTAAAATGTTATTTAAAAGAGACTGACAGAATTACTAGCAACTTTCAAGCATGCAAGATGATTATTAATGAACATAATTACCACTATCTTAAATGGAATGCTTTACTAAAATGCCCAAAATGAGTATGTATGTCTGGTGTATTTGAACAAGTTATCTTATGTATTGTACTCTTTAAAAATATATGGTTTGACACATGTGTTGATTGTGTAAAATACTAAGGATATGCATAGAGGTATATACAGGTTGAGTGGACACCATTTGTGAACTTGAGCCTTTTGAGGGTGAAAAATTCGTGATGATACTCTAAGAGGAAATTGGCATGTAAATTATATGTGTTCTAAGGAGTTTGAATATTATTTCAGCTTAGACCCTGAGTTACGTAATTAAATCTAATGACTAAAAGTAAACTCTTATAAAAATTTTGTTTGTTTTTCTTTTAAAAATAAATGAGTAGAGTAACTTTAGTTAGGTAATGGTTGGAACTCAAGGAAAGAGACGAAGCTAGTGAGCTTGAAACACTTAGAGAAAGTGCATTAAGGCACAAGTATAAGTACTTGCCAATTCTCTCTCTCTCTCTCTCTCTCTATATATATATATATATATATATATAATTCTGAATAGTTAATGAAATGATGTAAAATCTTAAATTTGGCCAACACTTTTGTGTGTGATTAAGGGAGTGAAACTCCAAAAGTGTGCATGACTATTTAGAAGGCAAATGTGTGTAAAATCTCACTCCCTTGTGAAGGAAGTCACAATGTTATTTTATAACTGTTGTTAGTGAAAAACAGGGAGAAGCTCAACATCTAGGGAATTCAATGGAGTTGGGTGACTTACCAATAGGTCTTACGAGTATCCTAGGCTTTGGAACTCTGGCTGGGAGCCTGGGAGTCTCCACACGATACTCTTTTATCTTAACCTTCTCCTGAAGCTTATCTTGTTGTTTGAGCTAGATCGGTCAGTGAAGATTCAAGTCTTCACCATACATGCAAAATGTAAATTGGCTAGTGAAACTCCCAATAACTTCTGAACAATATGATTGTTATGGATCTAGAGTAGCATAAGCATGAAAATGAAATTTTTGCAAAATCAAGAGTTATCATTTGCATAGATCATGCATCATGCAATTAAACTTGTATTTTATTATATTGTAAAAGTTACAGTTATTTTAATGTGATGTATGCTCGTACTTACTTTATTTTATTTTTATTTTTTGAATATTATTTACTTGGAAATATATCTCACTCCTTCTTTTCTTTGTTGGGAGGTGTTAGGCATTTTCTTTTAGTTGTTGTAGATTTTGAGGATGACCTTTCTCTGTCTTATTCTCCACATTGAGATGAAATTTAAGGATGATCCTTCAAATGTCGAGGAGATAAAAGAGGACCCTTCTAAAGAGTCCTGACTGTTGTTTAATAGTTTATTTTGTGGTCCACTGTTAGAGGACTCCGCTTGCTATATGGTGGAGGATTAGATACTCTGTGTTATTTCGGTAACTTAAGTGTAATGTACTTTGTTTAATACTTTAATGGTTGTGGATTGCATTTTTAAGACTCTTAGATAATTTGTGGTTACTTTTGATGATTAAGAGATTTATCTATATGACCATGTTTATGTTATCAATTATCTTTTGATTTTATTTTTGATGAAATTGAATAGGCAGAAATTTGGTTCTTCAATACATGTAGGAAATGAATGTGAACTTTGTGAGTTCATGGTTACATATTAAGTATACCATATCCTTAAGATAGTTTTAGTTGAACTGATAACCTACATGTTACATTTCTTATTATTAGTAATTAGTAATTGACTCATGAGTAGGTGAAAAAGATTGGAGTCTACTTGCATGGTTATGCCAATACGTTGTATGACTATATTATTCAAGTGGTATTTACTAATATCATGATTTTCTAAAGGTTCTAACTATGAGTAAATGAAGAAAACGGAATCTTATGAGTAATTGTTGATAATAAGAGTATAACATGTATTTTTATAAACTATTGTCTATTAGGCGCACGAAGAATCAAGTTCTGTGTTTTGACACTTGTCACTTAAAGTATATATTAAACAGCAAAAATCTCAATACTTAAAAATTATAGTCGTATCCATAAACTAGGTTGATTAATCTTAGGCACTTGTGTTGTTAAAAAAATTAAAAAAATCTCATTTTGTCAAGACTCTTAATAGACATTGTTATACATTATGCACCATGTTATCAAAAGAGAATAGGAAGTATGATTGCCACAAGATTTGTTTAAAGATGGTGTAATGTTTTTCATTTCTCTAACTATAGGATTTTGTAAAAGTCGATCTAAATAATTTCATGAAGAATAAGGATTTGTCATGGCAAAAGTTACCCTTATTTTTTCCAGTCAATCATCCAAGTGTCATCACTTGCGATTTGGTATTGAATTTCAAATGGTTTATCATATATTTCTAATCAACGTGGCAAAGGACTAATGTAAACCTTATTTTGTTGAGATATTTGCACTAATCTTATATAGAAAGTATTGGTGATGCTATGTTATGGATCGACCTAAGATGAAGTTATATGTGTTGGATTTTTTGTGTTTTGGCCACACTGGCAAGATAGCCTTTTTAGATTACTTGACGGTGTGAACAATTTTACTTATTGACAAACATTTTTTTGCTTAAATGCATGTTGAAGCTTAATGATATTTGATAAATATAAGCCAAACAATTTGAGGATATATTGACATTGATTGATTAGAACTTGGTCATTACTTATGCATAACTACAAATTGAGTATTCAAGGGTCCTAAGACAACATAATTGGCGAGTTTGTTTTCATTTTTCATATATATGAATTTGTTTTGCATTTACTCCTATTAATTTTTCTTTTTTATGTAAATTGATATTGTATAGATACTTCACTGTTTTTCATACAGTTATGATTGTGGTATGCACAAGCTTTTTTGCCTTATTATGGTGAATTGAGAAACAATTTCTCAATTTGAGGCATTTCCATGTTTAAAGTGGGAATGCCACATGTCATGAAGTGTTGTTATATAAAGTGTCGACATATTATTTTTTATTTTTTTTACAAGTGTCAATTTAGTAATAGCAACTGACACTTGTAAAAAAAAATAAAAAATAAATGTATCAGCACTTTATATAATGACACTTCATGGACGTGACATTCTTACTCTAGACATGAGAATACTTTTTTGAATGCCTCAAATTGAGAAATTCTTTCTCAGTTTATTCTAATAAGGCAAAAAATCCATGTGCACACCATAAAACAAATGGAGATATGGAAGGTGATGCAATCTATAAAAGAGGTTAGATTATGCTTACATGGGGTGAGGTGCATGTGCATACCATAAAACATTTTAAGATATAGAATGATGTTGCATCAATTGTTCTCTTGTTAGTGTGTTATCTTTTTTATGATGCAACCTATAAAAGAGGTTTTACTATGCCTACATAAAGAGATAATCAATTGTTCTCTTGTTAGTGTGTAATCTTTTTTATCGAATTAATAGTATTTGTTCTAAATGTAAATGTATAATGCTTATAAGATGAGGTTGGTAGCATTGATGAGGATTTGTAAATAAATTGAGTGTTGTATGTCAAAAATCAAGAGAAAGAACATACGTGCAAAGCTGTTAAAGTGGATGAGCTACTATCAACCCCTTCTCCATCTATTTTTACAAGCCCATGCTACGAAATGATATCTTCTCCTCAAGTTTGAAGCCTGTGACATAAGTTTCTCCATCTATTCTTACTAGCCCATGCTACAACATGGTTTCTTCTCCTCAAGTTGAAGCCTATGACATAAGTTTGTGTATATGTATACTAATAAGTCGTGTTTATGAAGCCAACTTTACAAAGGTTTCTTTAACCACCTTGCCGTCAATTGTTAATGTTAATGGATGTTAGTGAAAAAAAAAATAAAAAAATTTCAAGCTACTGTACCTCAAACATTGAAACAAAAGTTAAGCAGAAGACATGTCCAAAAAATTCTTCTAATTTTTAGAGTTTTTATTAAATTGCTTTTCACCTGACTTTTTTTAAAGAGAAAAAGGCTAAAAGAAAGTCAAACCAAATTTTATCTTACGTTTATGGCTTGTGATTTTCCTATATAATTATTGAGATAAGCTTTTCTGCAAAACTTACTAAAATAAATTAAAAAAAACTTATATAATAATCATAACCTACTTTTATATGTTAATTAAATACCTTCAATTCTTAACTAAGTACCTCTATCATAAATTAATAAATTAAGCCCAAATAAACTCTGCAAAATATCTTCCATGTTTATCTAAGATTTTATTTGTTCATGCTTTTTGTAAAAGCAAAATAAACTCCTAATTAAAAAAATTTAAAAAATGATAATAATTATATAAATTTTTCAAAAAAGCAAAAACCTACATCTTTTCTTGTCAGCTGCAAATAGTAACTTCAGAAAAAGTGAAACAACTTCTAATAAAATATAACAACATAATCTTTTTAAAAAAAAGTTTAAACAAACGTGTAATAAGGGAAGCAATTTATTTCAATACTTATTTAATAAACACTAATCACATGAGAACTTACGACATAAATTTTGATCATGAATTTTATTGAAATAAGATAAAAAATAATATTTTGATATGTTATGCTGAGATACTGAAATAGGCTAAAACATAGTTTATAGGAGTCTCGCTTTGACTCATAAGCTAGCACAAACGGAACCTTGCCATAACCCGAAAAACATATCAAAATTATCAGAAGTGAAGTTGCCTTTCCCCTATCAGCATGATCGTTTTCTCAATGAATCCATATCCATTTATGCACTATGAATAGCTTATTTCAAATTTCCAGGTTTTAAGACTAAGATTCAAGACTCGTGTAAGAGCTGAAACTTCCTCATTAGGAGGCTCAGAGTAAATAAACTGTGAGAAGAAAAGGTTGACCATCATATATGTGAATAAAAAAAAAAAATTAACTACAAGTTTGAGATTAGGTTACCAAAATGTTGTTTCTACTAGCTTTATCCTGAATCTGGAACCTTCACTTCCCTTAGAACCTTTGCAGCATCCTCGGGGAACACAGGATTTATGTGACATCCAGTTCCAATCTCAAAACCTGCTATCCCAATCAGTTGAGGTACTATCTGTATGAACCAATGAGTGTATGCTAACTCAGACTCCTTAACATGAAGTGGACTAGTTTGAATCATATAGTTGAATGGTGGATTGTTCAGCTGCAAAGACATCTTCCTAAGCATTAGTTTCAACAGGCCTCCAAGTTCAACAGCCTGCAAAATAAATCTCATGAAATGACAATCAACCTTTGGAACAAGAAACCCAAATAAGGAAGACATTAGCACATGTGTATGTAGTTGATAATGGCCAGCTATAGTGCACGTCATAGCAATACAATGAGGATCAGTGCTGTGTATTGTAGTTAAAATTGCACGTTAACACGTTGAAGCGTACAAGTCTGACTTGCGAATCTGGTTGGAGCAGAACGGAACATCACGCCAGAGCATTGATTCTTTGTAGCCTTTGCACCAATATGCGCTGGGGAGATCTCTTTGCACGCTGGGTTGAGCTTTTAGTGGGTTAGGTTGTAGAACCTATTCTGTTTCACTTTGAAAAGCCCCCTTTTTTTACACATACAGCCAAAAGATATTGTTCAACTGTCTCTGCCTCTTTACTCCTCACATTTGACATACTGCCTCTATTCCCCTAATCCCCTTACATTCCACACACTCTAAGCCTTTGTTTCTGGGTTCCAATGCAGGCAGACCTGCATTCTCTTCCTTCTCCTTTCTTCTCCAGTTTTCTATTGCTGTGTGTGGTTGGGTTGCTGTTTTTACCTAAAACAGCAACTTTTTGGGTGTATGTTGCGTACCAGCCCTTGTCAGTAATCAACCAAACAGACCATGTCTATCAAATTCAAGCCTTGCCACTTTGAACCTTTTCCTCCTTTCTCCAATCTTTATTTTATCTTTTCACAGGTCAGAAACACAACTTCTCAGCTCGCAGTTAGTTGTTGTTGTTATTGTGTGTGTGTGTTGTGTATCAGTTTTTGTATTGTGTTTCACAGTCCAAACACTTCATGCTTCTCAGCTTCAACCTCTATCACTACAAATACTTATTATGATAATCCCAAAGACTGCTAAGCTTTTTCGATGTTTAAAGTTCAACAAGGACATATTCAGGATTTAAGTCTTTAATGTATTTTATGATTAGCTTAAACTTTGGATGATGATAGAGTTGAATGATGTGTTATTTTCATATAAGTTTTTCATACACATTAGTGGTTATAATTGTCACTTTTGAATTATATTAAATATATAATATAAATTGCAGTTAGATTGTACTATGCTGTTTGGAATGAAGTTTTTGGAAGGGATGACATATTTTTTAATTAAAAATTCAAAGAATTATATATTATTTATGATGATAAATATATGATTAATACATTGAGTTTATGTTAATATATCATTTTATATCTTTTATTTTTAAAATTATTAATTTAAAATAAAAAATTTGTCCTCTCCTCACTTTCCCTCCAAAACCTCCCTTCACAAATATACCTAAAAAAACTTGGCATCCCCATGCCCCATTATATTTAACCTCGTGATTCAAGCACCAAAGTTAATGCACTATTTCAAAATACCATGATCGCAATAGAAACAACTAACAGTCTAACCCAATTTCAGATTACTTATTCAATATGCTTTTGAGTTGTCACAAGCAATCACCCTTAAAAAGATCTAATATCTATGGGCACTAGATAGAATCGATAACAATTAGCATCAAGTTTAAGAAAACAACTAAAAACTTAAGCCTTTATTCCATGCCTCATATCAGATGCATTATATTGAAATCAAACTAAATATTTTGCACTTAAGCAGTAATTGGACTTGGCAAATAATGAAGTGTTACCTTTTCAGCATCCAATTCATGAAAGTGAGGAGAGTGATACCGAGGAACAATCCATATCTCAAAAGGAAATGTAGCAGCGAAAGGAACCATTGAAAAGAAGTTGGTAGATGAATCAATCAAAAGATCATCACGTTGAATTTCACAAATAAAACATTTCCCTGTCTGATCAAAATAATCTTTCACACTACCAAGACGTGCAGAAACATTAGGTGGAATAATTGGCAGGGCCATCATCTGACTGTGTGAATGGCTCATTGATGCACCAGCTGAAGCACCATGGTTTTTAAACACCTTTAAAGGTTAATAAAAGCAAGGTCATAAATGATAATTACATGAAACAGGTGCAAGAAGAAGATAAACAACAATTTATTTATCAATTGATTGCAATTTTAATGTCATTGTAGAAAAAGATAGAATGAAGCCAGCAACTACCATTCGATTGAGAGATTTAAAATTAAAACCAAAAAAGCGAACAGATCTATATTTTATAGTCAGTGATGTGAAGCAGGCAAGCAGCTATTAGTTTTGCCCAGTTGCTCTCATTATTCATAGTATCAACACAAATAATAAATGCTCCACAGAAAGTGCTATTAAATATGGATTGGGCCTAATAAAACTCCAAAAGCTATTAGTTCAAACAGTGAGGATTGTCCAAGTCTTATAAGGAGTATTCTACCAATATTCCTAACTAATATGTGACATATTAACAAACTCCATTTACACACAAGGCTAGTTTGCAAGATTAGACATACACAGGTGACCGATTATCAATATTGGATAAATTCAAATACCATATTAAACATGGACTGGGCTTAACTCAATCCTATAAGTTAGTTTAAAGAAGGAGGATTGCCTAAACTTTATAAGGAGTGGAAGGAGGATTGCCTAAACTTTATAAGGAGTGGAAGGAGGATTGCCTAAACTTTATAAGGAGTATATTAGCTATAATCCTAATTAATGTGTGACATGATATAGAAGAAGAAAGTGATCCCATATATTACATAGGTAAAGCCTACAACCCCATAGAAAATAAGAATACGACCAACTAAGCTATCAAAGAGCTTTAATCTCACATGCCCTCTGAAGCAAAAAGAACAACTTGGGAGTACAAGCAGTGACCAAAGCATCTAAATGCAGACAGTGAAATTAATCGCTATTCCCTAAAAGAATTAACACAGGTCATATTAGTTCCTGAACCATAGAAGTTTTTGGTCCCTAAATACGTATTCAAACAAGTCCTGAACATGAATCTTGTCAATTAAATTAGTCACAAAAATTTGTGACACGGGGACTAAATTAATCAAAGGAATGCACATTCAAGGATCTAAAGGTAATTTCCATCATTCAGAAAACACATATTTTAGAGACTAATTTGACTATTTTCTTATGGTCCTAAATATCTACTTTGTCAGTCAAATTAGTACTTTGGACCTAATTTAAACTAATTTCCATCATTCATATACAAATATTACAAACTTGAACTCAGTTTTTAGATCACTTTTTAACGAAAACACTGAATGAATTAACTGAAGAAACTTACAAAAAAAAAAAAAACGATTTATTTTACTGCTTTAATTCATGTAATTTTCTTAATAAGAAGTTTATTCAAACTATACCTGAATACGATACATCAATTAGTAACTAATTGGACTAGTTATTCAAAAGATTCTGACAATTCAAAGGCACAAGAAAACGAACCTGCACGTATTTGATAGAGTTATGAGTGGCGAGTTCTTGGATTCTCTTGGTATAAGCGAGGAAAACCTGGGCAATTTCTGGAGGAGACAAATCGCAGAGCTGAACCGGATGAACGGGGGTTTCGATCACCACGTCGTGGAACCCGAACCCGTCCAGAACCGAACCGGAGGGGGTGAGGTCCGGTTCGGGGAGGGTGCGGGAGAGAGCGGGGTAGAGGTTCTGGATGACCCGGATTTTCCAATTCGGGTCATGGGGCGGGACCCGAAAGATTTCGGGCGCGCACTCGTGCTCGTGGCCAATGCAGAAGGGGCATTGTTGGTTGGGGTTTGGGTCGGTAGGAGATTTGGATTTGAATTCGGAGGGTCTTTTGGCTCTGGCGGGTGAGAATATGACCCATCGGTTCCACACAGCGTCTTTCCTTAGTTCTGGGTTTCGATTCTGTGAGGAAGATCCCATCGTTTTACGTTGTTGTCTCGTATTTCTATGCTAGAAGTTTCTGGTTTTCTGTCTCTCCGTCATACCCTTCTACCAGTTGGAGACACCTTATTCTTCTTTTCTTTTTTTATTTAGTCCACTTCCCTCAAACACTACTAGTTTTGTCATGAAAACAATGAAACAGTTAGCATTAAATCATTTTAACTTAATCTATCATCTCTATTTTACGTCTTTAACATGTAGTTATATTGATATTAGTTTATTGATCTATGGAATACAAAGGTATTTTCATATTTTTTTATAAAAATAATTTAATTTATTATTATTAAATTGTAAAATAAAATAGTATCTAAAGTGAAAAAATTTCCTTTATAAAATTTATAAATATTAAAAATATGTAAATAAAAGAATTTAAATTAAAAAGTAAACTATAATTAAAAAATTATATTATTATTTTAAATAAAATAAAATAAAATTTTATGAAATTGTAAAGATGTAGAATTATTAAATTTGTAATAGAAAATAAATATTCATCGAATGTTATGATAAAAATAAAATTTTAAATAAAAACCATAAAAATAATAAAATATATATCGTTATTATTTAATATCTTAATAGATTTTTATAATATTATTTTTCTAATATAAATTTTTGTTATAATATATTAAACTCATAGGAGGCATGACTTTAAAATGCATCATACTCTTAATTTAACATATTTTTATTGTAAATTATTTTGTATAATCATAAAAATTGTCTTGATATAGAAATTTATGCTAAGTTTGAGAAGAAAATTTTATTAATAAAAAGAAAAAGTACAACAAATAATTTTCTTAAGAATTCTCTTTATAAAAGAAATACGACTTTCTTGTTTTTCTTTTAACTTGTATACAATAGAAATAAATGCAAGTATTTATATTATAATATATGTTAAATAATATATGGTAATAAGAATAAAGAATTTTAATACCATCAATTATAAATGTCTTTCATTAATTTATTTAAGACAAACTTTAACAAATTTTTACCTTAACTTAAATTTTTTATATTATTTCATTCCCAATTTTTTGAATTAAATAATACTTGCAATGCCTACTAAGTCTAAACAATGTTTGAACTTTATTTATAAAAGAATTTTTGTCATCATATTTGCAAGATTATTAGAAGTAGTAATTTTCTCCATAACACATCTCCTTGTGTTATTACACTATGAATAAAATGCATTATAACATTCATATGTTTTGTCCTTTCACGATACATATAATTCTTTTTGACTATATAATACACAATAATGTGATTCTGCTTGACACCATAAGACCTTTAAGTCATAATGCTTCTTTCATTGCTTCTATAATTGTCATATACTATGTCTTTATAAATGACAAGGCAACAATAGATTGTAAAGTTGCACGCCAACCAATAATACTACCTTTAAGCGTCAAAATATAACCAATCAAGGATCTCCTGCGATCAAAATCACCAGCATAATCCGAGTCACAAAATCTAGTAATATGACTATGGACTTCATTTATTTTTCTACCAAATACCAATCTCATGTTAGTTGAACCCTTAAAGTATCTCATAATCCACTTTATAACTTGCCAAAGAGCCTTCCTTGGATTAGCCATATAATGACTAGCAATGCTCACTACATGTGCAATATCTAGTCTAGTACATATCATAACATACATTAAACTTACAAATGTGTTAGAGTAAGGCACTCTAGACATAAACTCTTCATCCTCTTCTATTTGTGGTGGCATTTTTAAGACAACTTAAAATGAGCTGTAAAAGGTCTACTAATTGATTTTGCATAGTGCATTCCAAATCTCTCTAAAAAATTTTAAATATAACTCTTGACATAAGCACAATCTTTTAACCTCTTGATCTCAAATGATTTCCATGCCAAGAATTCTTTTTGCTGGGTCTAAATCCTTTATCTCAAATTCACCACTTAATTGTGTCTTCACCTTATTGATTTTTGTTAGATACTTACACGCAATTAGCATGTCATCAACATAAGGAAGCAAGTGAACATAAGAGTCATCAAATAATTTTTTATGATAAACACAACTATCATATTTACTTTTTATATACCTAATATCAACAATAAACGAGTCGAATTGTTTATATCACTATCTAGGTAATTGCTTCAACCTGTACAAAGACTTCTTCAAAAGACATATGTGGTCTTATTTTTTAGGTTTGACAAATCTCTCTTGTTTTTGCATGTAAATCCTTTCCTTCAAATCACCATGGAGCAATATAGTCTTTACATCAAATTATTCCAACTCTAAATCATGCAGACACACTAAAGCAAGAAGCACTCAAATGAAACTATGTTTCACAACAAGAGAAAAAGCTTAATTAAAGACATTACCTTGACTTTGTGTAAAGCCTTTTGCTACAAGCCTTACTTTGAATCTTATTCCATTTTTCTTCTTGAATATCCACTTATAACCCACAATCTTCTTATCAATTGGTTTCTTAACAAACTCCAAAGTCTAATTCTTATAGAGGGATTTAAACCCTTCTTTCATGGCACCAATCTATTGTTATTCTTCATCACAATTAACTACCTCATGAAATGAATTAGGTTCCTCTTCATCAATGCTTTCTTCCATATTAAGTGCAAAAGTAACAAAATTTTCATTACTTTAAGGTAGTCAAGACTATTATAAAATTTGATTCCTTAGGATCCAACAACTTGTACCCTTTTATGCCATATTGATAACCTAGAAATATGCATTTTCTAGCTCTTGGCTCCAATTTTCTATCATTAACATGAACATAATTTGAACATTCAAATGCATGTAGAGTTAAATAATTTGTTGTAGAGCCTGTCCACATTTCCTCTAGGCTCTTACATACAATAGTTGTAGAAGGTGGCCTCATTTATTCCATATTCACTCATATGACCTAACCTCATGCCATAAATTAGTTTGGTTAACATATGAAATAGAAGAAATTATGGGTAAACCTACCATTGTAATTCCCAGCAAGAAATATAATCCATTTTTCAACTTTTCCTGCATAACTATTAAGGTTCCTCTAGAAACTTTTAAGACTCCACTTTCAACTCAATATACACAACCAAGAAAGTCTAAAGTAGTCAATGAAATCAAATTCTTATGGAGTTTGAGAACATACCTCTCATCATCTATCTTAATTTTCACTATACCTTTGCTAACTATACTACATACACCATCATTTTCTATTATAATTTTTCCACCATTAATCTCTTGAAACATGACAAACCAATCCCTATTAAGCATCATGTGAAAGTACATGTTGAATCATTAATCTAGGCATTGTGATTGTCATTAGTCAAGACAAAGAGAACATTTCCACCATTTGATTTTTCTGAAACCACAACTGCTCCACCAAACTTTGAAGTACCTATTTTGTCTTTCTTGAACTCTTGCCAGTTTCTCTTCCTGTGTCCTTGTTGACAATTATGACATTTGTTGTTCTTATTTTTGTTGCGTGATTTAGATTGCATTCTTTGGAAATTTTTCTTCCTTTCTTCCCTTCTTCCTCTTATCATCAAACCCTCGCTTAAGTTAGTGCCTTCATATGAATGGGTAATTCTCTTTTTCAATTCCCAAGATTGTAAAGTCATTTTCATTTCCTCCATTGATAATGAACTTCTATAAAAGAATTATTATGTCTACAAAATTATCATAAGCTCTTGCAAAGAACTAACAACAACAACAACAACTTGGTCCTCATCATCCACTTCATACATTTATATGGTATATAATTGTTTCTTCAAATAGAGACAATTGTATAGACTATCATGTACCGACTTCCAAGCTTTGCCCAAAGGTTGTCGGTAGTATTTTCTCTAGAGACTTCTCCTAAAACTTCATCACCTAATAATAACAATATTATGCTATGTACCTTCTTCATTTATCACTCCTCTGTGTAGATGTAAGATTAGTCGGTAATTTTGCTTCTCCTTCTAACGCCAACTCATATTCATGTTACGTGAGGAGAGCTAGAATTTTCACTCGCCACAGGTTGAAGTTATTTTTGCTAGTAAATTTCTCAACGTCAAACTTTGTAAACGTTATAGTTTTGATAATAGTTTGCTGTGAAACTTATCTCTAATGTAAAAATTTATGTAATGCAAGTTTGAGAAGAAAACTCAATAATGAAGGGAAAAAACTATAACAAATGGCTCTCACAAGGTCTCTCTATGAAAGAAATGTGACTCTCTTACTTTTTTTTAGCTTAAATACAAAAGAAACAAATGCACGTATTTATACCATAATATATACTAACACTAGATACTAATAAACACATGTAGTTCTAATATCATTAAGTATAAATTACTTTCATTAATTTACTATTCTAATTCAAGGAAACTTTAGCACATGTTTTTATGTTTTTTATTGTCAATTTTAATGAATTTATCATAGATCTTTTGTTCAAAACATCACTTTTCAATTAATAAAAAAAAAATTAAAATAAAGTTTATTGTGATATTATAATCACAAAATTTTGATATTTAATTTTAAATTAATTTTTTTAAGAACATGTACATGAGATAAGTGTATTAGTTTGATCATTTTAAAGAGTGCTTCATCATTGTTTTGATCATTGGTCTTCTATTTAAAACATAAATATCTTCAATGAATCATGAGTAAAACGGAAGTTGCAATAAATTTCATTGAAATACTTTTTTAATTAAGATAAATAAATTAAAAAAATATCAAAGAGTCTATCTAAAATAATCTTGAAAGATCATGTATCATTTGAACATTATTTACCTTAGCAGATAAACTAACTAGACACATTTTTTAACAAATAAACTGATTCGGCACATTAGATGTCAGAACTGAATGTAATAAATAACATTTAATATAAACGGGATAGTGTGATGTGATAGATAACAATTTAATTTTATCTTTAAAAATATTTTCATCAATTAAATTGATTTCTAAAAAAAATTGTATTCAATCAATTTCGTTCAAAAACATCTTGATGAATTAATCTGATCCTTTAACTTTAATATTCTCTTTTGCTATATTTTTTTTTTTCTATTGTAGCTAATGAGGTTGGTTTGAAGACTCTATCAGTGAGATTGTCAAGTTAAAGGTTTATTTTTGGACCAAAAGAAAAAGTATAGAATCACCACTCAAATTCTTAACAAGATATGATTCAATATCGTTTCTGAATTGAGAGTTAAACTATATTGAACCGATCAAAATTATTCATTTAGTTGGATCAATCAACAATTGATACTTTTAAATAAATTCGTATTTCATACGGCAATAATCGATGACATTTAATTTAATTTAGTATATTTTTCTTACTCGAACTTATTTTTATAACACGTGTTTTACAATTTTGAAAAGGCAAACAACGTTTGACTAAGGATAAAAGTTGGATAAAGTTGATTTTAATAAATTAATCTCATATCGTTAAATATAATTATACTATATGCTTAGATTAATTTTACATTAGAACATGTGTCAATGTGTCATGGTAAGCAAAATTGATTATTAGTGTTAGTCAAACTAGCATCAAGTGTCACTCCCAATTTCTAGAGTGAAATCTGTTCTAGCAGACGCTATGTAACATTTCTCTTGTTCAATTTCCTTTTATATACCGATGGAGAAAAACTTGAAGGTTTAATCTAAATAGAATGGATATATTGAATTTCTATAGCACCCCCTTTTCATATGCAATCATTAAATATTAGATTAAATATATGGTTTATTTTTTAAAACATATTGCATATTGATTTTGGATTCTTTAAAATTATATATTATTATTTTCTACATTTTATTGATTATTAATTTTGTTTATCTTTGTGACGTGATTATACACAAAACCGTTACACAAAATTAATGTGAAAATTAATCATGTCATTATTTGATAGTAATTGGGAACTAAAATTAATATTTTTAAAAATATAAAATAAAAAAAATCAGCATCATAAGTTAAAATGTGATATATTTTGAGAGAATAAAAGTGTATTTAAGTCTAAAGTATTGGTTGTGCTTTAGAAATATATCTAAAGCATGACATAAATAAAACATTAATAAAAATAACATCATTAACTTATTATGATAAAAAAAGAAAGCAATACAATTGAGAAAAAAAGAAGAAGATACATTTGGATTAATAAAAAGCAAATAATAAAAATCCCTGTAAAAATTTGGGAGGCATATGCAAGAATTGCGTTGTGTGTTGTTGAGGCAAACAATGGGGCTCTTTATTGAGAGGAATGAATAATATTTATGGTTTATGATTTCAAGCTTCCCAACCCCTAAGGATTGTAGCTCTTGCCACACGGTTTACTGCAAGGGTGAATGCTCCCATACGAAGATCACAATCATGGGTTTTGCACATTTCCTTCACATCTTTGAAACCTTTGGTCATGTATGTCTTTAGCTCATTGTTCACTTTCTCCTCATCCCACATGAACCCTTGTATGTTCTGTGCATTACATAATCACCATTTAATGTTATAGTAGCTACATCAAATTGTAAATAATTTGGATCCATCATGGAAAAATGGAATGTAACAATGTCATGTTACTAGAAAGAAGATTGAAAAAGGAAACAATTAATGCATCCTTGTGAAATCATATGGTTAATTATAATTAAAATATTTACCTGCACCCACTCAAAGTAGCTAACAGTAACTCCTCCTGAGTTTGCTAATATATCTGGGAGGATCACAACCCCTTTCTTTTTCAGAATCTGCAAACAAGTGTGGTAGTTAAAATCAGTGCATTTTTCTTCTTATTTTTCTCTCATAAGTTTTTTTTTTTTTCCAGTTTGAAAAAAGGGAAGAAAAGAAAGAGTGCAAAAGTAACCTCATCAGCCTCTGGGTCAGTTGGGTGATTGGCTGCTTCAACAATAAATTTGGCTTTAATTTCATTTGCGTTTTCCCTTCAACAATAGCAAAAGTTGTAAAAGAAAAGGTTTAGACTTACGTTTATCATAGTTCTCCTTTAGAACAGATGTTTAGAATGCTTGTGGAGTATGCAATAAATTTAAGTTACTAGCAATACTGGCTAGCACCTTTGTCTAAGAGGTGCATCAGTAACCAAAATAAAAAAGTAATAGCATGTTGGAAACTATAAAAATGGAAACAAAACATGCTCTAAACCTCCACTTTTATACCTATAATTGTAAATGTCTTTTTTCTTATAGTCCTTGACTTTATAAATTTTTTAACTTTAGTTTTAATTTTATAAAATATTACAAAATGTCAACATTTATTCTAGTTATTTTTACTCTATTATTTCACTAACTTTAGAAACTGAAGGAAATTCTATTTTGTAAGAAATTACAAATACAAGAGAAAAGTAAAATTTTTGTAAAGTCGAGAGATAATTATAATATAACAAAAAAAAAAAAACACATTTTTCTCTCTTAATTCCCAATCCCTCTTCACCAATGACAAAAAAAATTGTTGTTGAGTAAGGAAAAGTACCTATTGATGACTCCCCCAAGAGCTGCTGGGACAAGAACATCACAATCTTCAACCAATATTGACTTGGGGTCAATTGGATCACCACCATGAAATCCTTTTACTCCTCGGTGCTCTTTGGAATACTTGAGTAGGCTTGCAATATCTAAGCCATTGCTATTCTTTATGGCTCCTGTTATGTCACTCACAGCAACAACTTTTCCACCTTTCTCATTTATTAATTGGGCAGCCCAGGAACCCACATTTCCAAAACCCTGAAGAGCACATAACAAAATTGAATGATTTTGTCTCAAATTCATCAAAATACAAAACCTTTGAAAGCATGAACTAATGAACTTCACCATTTTTTTATTCTTTTACCATTGTATCTTCATTAATCATTATTGTCAACATATTATCTTCAAACCAGTGTGCATGTTGTTAAAGGCACAAGTCCAAACATTAACTTGTAATAAATGTTATTTTTACTAGGCAATACTCTGTTCTTTTTGCTTTGACGTTTAAAGTTATGTGCAAAAATTTAAAGAATATTAACATTTTAAATTTCTTAAAAAGTTACTACTTAACTTTTTATTATATTTTTCATTTATTATATTAATTGTCTTATTTATTATTTTTACCTAACAAACATTAATTGTTGATTAATTCTATCAAATAACAATGAAAATTGAATAAATTTTTTTTGTTATAAGTGCCAAAGAAAAATAATGGAAGTAGTAGATCATTTGGAGGAATGTAAAATAAGAGTTACCTGTATGATAAACCGTTGTCCAGACACACTTTTCCCATGTTCATTAAGCAAAGCCTCTGTTGCAAATAGGACTCCACGTCCTGTAGCTGCATCTCTTCCTAGAGATCCACCAAGATCCTTATTTGAACACGAAAATTAAGAAATGGGAATTGGTTTAGGAGATGTTATCAACACATTTTTTTGAAGGCTTCTTTAATATCTATTGAAATTCATGTGTGACTAATATGGAGTTAGACCCTCTTCATTTAGTGGAATCCATATGAATTTCAACCAATAATAGTATATAAGTAATGAAAGTGATGGAAAATGTGTGTTCCTAATATTGCTAATTAATTCATTAAGCATACATTGGTGTTGTGGCACATTCCAATGCCCATTAGAATGAAAAATACAAACAGTTTATACTTACTAAAGGTTTCCCAGTCACAACTGCAGGAGAGTGGCCATGAAATTTGGAATATTCATCTAGTATCCATGCCATAGTCTACATTCACAACCATGTAGTAAGGTAGTGAGTGTTTCATATTTAAGACCAACAAGATAAAAATAAAATTAATAAGATCATTTCTTGAACATACAACAATCTAAAGCAAATTCACAAAGCATAATTTTTTGTACTAACTTGTGGGCCTGTTCCCATATCAGGTGCTGGCACATCTGTCTGAATTCCAATCAAATCATGAATTTTCTGGGTAAAAACTCTGGTAAGTCTTTCTAACTCTGATACACTTAGTTTTGCAGGGTCACACCCTATTCCTCCTTTGGCACCACCATAAGGTACATTTGCTACAGCTGTCTTCCATGTCATTAGTTGTGCCAAAGCATTCACTTCATCTGGTTCTACCTATAAACATCAAAATTGCTAATTCAATTTGATTTGTCAAATGAATGCCTTCATTACATTATGTGGTTATTCATTAGCATCATCCTCAAAGTCATTTATTTCTAGCCATGTTAGGCAAATATAAGGGGAAGAAAACGCAACACTATTATTCATAACAACATATAGCTAGCTTGTGTTTTTAATTTAGAGTTGTTGGTCTAATAATTCAGACTTCTACAAGTCAGAATGCAATACCTCAGGATGGTATCTAATCCCTCCTTTCATGGGGCCTCTAGCATTATCGTGTTGAACCCTGAATCCAATATAAGTCGCCAAGGTGCCATCATCTTTTGGTATGGTACACTCAACCTGCACTTTCATTTAACAAAATGTTTAGAACATGAACTGTTAAACTATGTGACACATATATATAGTAAAATTTTGTTAGATTTTAGTTGAGTGGATTTGAAATAAATGAGGTTAAAAATATTGATTTGTTTTTCAAAATGATATTTTAAAAGAAAGTTGAGAAGAGTTATTTTGTCCAAATGATAAAATAAAATACTTTTGAAGTGTAAATAAGATATATTTTATAAGATGCACACCAAGGGCTAGCCAATAATAAAGGCATACTTTTTACTTTTTTCAAAATTAATTCTTTTCACATTATAAAGTTAATTTCAAAACAAATGAAAAATATTTTGTTAACAAAGTTTGAAATATTTACACCTTGAGAGAGATAGGAAATAATAAACTTGATGTGACAGAAAAAAGAGATGAAATATGTCAAACAGGTGATAACATTATTGAAGTATTTATGAATCAGAGTAATTCAAAAAAAATAATTCAAAAGTAGTTGTCATAAACTTAAACGAGGGCCTCAACCCAGAAAAAGGGAGGGTGATAACACAAAAAGGACAACACAGCTTCTCAATTTTACTTGCCTTGATTTCTCTAAATGGAATGAGCAAACTCTTCTCAAGCTTGGAATCCAATCCCAGAAGCCTAGAGGCCAATTTGAAGTTCCTGTTGGTAGCTGCAAGTGCATTCATTGTTTGTTGGGCAACCAAAAAGTCTAACACAAAAGTTCAATCCTTTTGACAGAGATGCGGAAAATAGATGTTGTGAAATTGCTGTTGTTAAGAGTATTTATATATAGCTTCGATGGGTAAGAGAAAAATGAAAGATTGATCACCTATTTGTGCCAGCAAAGTAGGAGATATACATAAGCAACATCTTAGTCAATGTCAACAAAAATATTCTAGTAAAAGTTTGGTCGATGTGACACAATCAACAAGGATAAGTGCAGCAACGTGAAACACCACGTGGATCAAAGTCAGCAATTAGTCCAGATGTGGTGGCAGGAAAAAAAATATTAAGAGGCCCTATATTTTCCACAAGATTAATAAAAAAAGTTAATGGGTTAAGTAATGAAAATAATAAATTTTATTAAAAAATATTTATGATTTTAAGAATATAAAACTATATAAATATTATATTTTTAATAAAAAATTACTATTATATATACTTAAATAATAAGAATTGAAATTAATAGAAAAGGAAAATACTAACATCAATTTTAGAGATTGATTTAAAATAATTAAATACAGTAAATTTTTTATAAAAAGAAAATATGTACGATATTAAAAATATAAAAATATTATTTTCTAATATGTCCCTTTCACCAAAGGTATAAATCACCCGGTCCCCTCTAAAGTGCAATATCTAACAATAACATTCCATAAGAGAAGATTAATAATTTGTTCTGTATCTTGTTTTTCCTTCTTTTGCATGTAGGAGAAAATAATATACCAATATATGGAAACAAAATCATGCTTATGTATTATTACCATAGAGTTAGTTCGATATTTTTTAGACATTATATATGAATAAAAACAAACCTACTCATTTTTAATATATATATATATACTTTGTAATGTTACACGAGTTAAAAAAATCTTTAATATATAATATTTTTATTATACTTTTTTCTTCAGGAGAAGTAGTATTTTAACCTCCAAACTTATTATTTATTTTGGTGAAAAAAAGGAGCAACACGTCTAACAAACAAAACTAAACTAAAAGTCTGAAAAAGCTAGTCTTACAAGAATCCAAACTCAAAATGATAAAAGGGAGAAAGCAACTCTAAACTTAGTTTGGCCAGAGAATCAGCACAAGAATTCAAGTTTATTAAATTTTAATTTTGGTCTTTATTTTTTTATTTTACTCTCTAAATTTTCTAAATTGAACATTTTTATCATCGATTTTAACTTTAAATATAGAACACCCGTGGATCCATCCCTGGATATGTTGAGGGATACTTTTGGTCAAGGTGTAGCAAGGAAAATATATATTTAAAATACACCCTAAATAATACTTGCAGAGATGTAATACATTCTTAATTAATACATTCTTATTTTTTTCTTAATAATCAATTTGTATTTGATAAATGATAATAAATAAGTAAGATATTAATTATAATATAACAGATACAATAAAATATTAAGTATTTTTTAATAAAATTAAAAAATTCAATTATTTTTAAATTTTTATATAAAATTTTGAACATAATATTAAATTTAATAATTTAGATAGTGAAAGTGTTAAGACAAGTTATTAGACTAGGTGGAACTGAATTCTAAAGCAGCACATTCATCCCATCGATGTCAATTATTTTTTCCTATTTAGTGTCAATGGTTAATTTGGAATACAATATGAAGCAGACTGAAATTGTGAGTATATATATATATATATATATATATATATATATATATATATATTATAAAATTATAAAAATAATATAAGATAATTTAATAATTATATCAATCATTCTTACTCTCTTTGTATATTGTCTTTGGGCAACTGCTTTTCAACTTAACATGGCTCGCAAATTCAAATTTTAATCTCCAACTACATTAAATATATTTATACCACTTACGTGGACGAATTTAAACAATACTTTTAAGGTAAATTGAGTCATTGAAAAATGTAAGAATATTTATTTTGCGAATGAAGAAAAGATTTGTGATACCCTGATGAAAAAAATAAAAAAAAACTCAAATTTTGTTTTGCTGTAAAAACAGTGGTTTGGTGATGAATTATACGTAACGTAATGATTATTCAACACCGGTGGGCTTAATTTAAAGAGACGGGGGAAGTTACCAAGTGTTCGTCTCAAAGCTCCGCTATTCCGTTTCTACATTAAATACACGTCACTTTCATATTCTAGATGCTGACTCGAATCGGTTCACCCATTTTCAATTGTTAAATAATTTTTAAAGCTACTATTTAATAGTAATATGCATATTTAATTATAGTAATAATTTTAAAATAATGTGCGATGATATGCATAAATATATAAGCCAAAACGTGTTATCAATAGATAAGGAGGATTATTATTATTTTGATTTCAGTTTATGAGGATCCAAATTAATAAAAATATTTCTAAAGAACTAAAAGTAAGCTTAACTATATTTACAAAACTTTAAAAAAAGTAAAAATTTAAACAGATTGACTTTATAATAGAGTCAAACTTTTGGCTGGCCTAGGATATTTCTTAAAGGCCTACTGTCAAAAACGTTTTGGATTTTAAGTGTGAATAATTTGTGTATTATGTGTTAAAGATAAAATTGAGTTGAACTTCTAATAGTTTAATTATTAAAACTTTATATCTTGTCAAAGTTGATCTCTTCTAAATGAAATTATATTTACACAATTAGCTTGAATTTTTTTTAACAAAAAATAAAATAAAAAAAAAGAAAATAAAGTGTAGAACAAAATACAATCATGTTATTTGAATAAAAAAACTAATATTATATGTGCATTATATATAATTATTTTTAGCTATTAATTACTTTTTATCTTTTTTGCAGGGCCACAAATATATCACAAAACACAAAGATTGACTCTCTTGAGGTATCTATTGAACATTTTTAATTAAATATTTAAAGTGATAGAGAAAGGTAAAGAAAATTTTAATTTTTAAAAAATATTCTACGAATATTATATATAATTCTTATATAAAAAGAGAAGAAGAAAGTCAAGAAACAGAGTAAGAGGAAAAAGAAAGAAAAAAAAAGAGACTAAAAGACACGTGAAAGTAATTGCAAAAGAAATAAAAGCGAGGTTTTGTTTCAACTTTGGCTGGCAATAACGTACAAATAAAGATGCATGTTTCTCACAGACACACATGAATTCAAATCATCTTGCTAATTGAATTATAGACGGGGCAAAGTGGCAGCAATCTATGTTAATTCAGTGCATGGTACTTGTCAAAAAAGACAATCCCCATCGGTGAGAGTACTGTTGTCACTGATAATACCAAAAATAACAACAATATTTTTCATGACATTTGATCCTCGCAAAACGTTTGACTTAGAGACAGAGGTATAGAAGCACGTGTATTATGTTTAAATAGTGTCTTGTTGAAGAGACAAAAATACGAAAGAATACTATAGACACAAATTCGAAAGATATCAGTGTATTTTCTAGAAGAAGGAACACTGATGTCTCACAGCTCTAAGGATACAAAGACTATATTTTTTAAGACCAAAATATCTCTAATAATCATATAAAATTACATACACTATCCTTTACTTTCATTTTTTGTATCTTTTCTCTTACATCTAAATATGATACAAGACGCAATACATAACATTCTATTTTTGCTTCCAAATATAATACATAGAAATAAATATTAGTGTCTTTTTCCTTCATTATCTCTGTATCTCTATCATAATGTCTCTGTCTGAACCAAACACTACTTAAGATTCTTTAAAAGATTTAAATCACTTATTCAATCTCTAAATATTTAATGATTTACCATATTAGTTCTCTAAAGATTTTTTTCATTAAATCAATCCTTCAAATATTTAATTTGTCATCAAATTAGTTTTTAAAGATTTATAATATTACAATATTGTTCATTAAAAAAAATATTAAAATAGTTAAAAAAAGATTTTAACTTAATAATAACTGAATTTATATATATATATATATATATATAATTTTATCAAATTAATCCTTATGTAAAGCCAAAATGATGAAAAAAACTTAGTGACAAAAGTTTTGAAAGACTAATTTAATAATAATTTAAAAGAAAAAAGAAAAAAAAAAGACTTGAAAGGATGATAAAGAAAGGAGAAAGAAAAAATGTTAATAATAAATTTTTAAATTAAAAAATTAGAAATATGAGTTTAAGAGAATTTATAAAATTTAATTTTATTTAAAAAATTTCAAATAAAATGATAATCATATAATACAAAATCTTTTTAAATTTTGAGAACTTAAAAAATATGTGAGTAAGAGAGTTTGTTTTTCAAATAAAATTTAAAATATTAATTTGATAGTACCAACTTGATAATGTTTTTTTTCTTTAGAAAACTAAATTTGAAACATTTCTCTATTTTTCATTCACTCCATTTTTGACATATCTGTAGAAGAAAAGAGAGATATAATTTTTTTAAATATATGTAATTTGATAAAAATAAAATAGAAAAGCAATAAAAAATACTTCATAAATATGTATGCATGTAATTACTTTAAACATAATCAATAATAAAAAAAAAAAAGCAAGAGAAACTTCTATTAGATGACGTCAAGCTCCAAAGTAGCATTGAATTTCTTTTTTCCTGCCAAATGAAACAGTGAAGAAGGAATCCAAGCATACAAATTTGGTTCTTAACACATACAAGTAGCATCATCGAAGTGGAGGGAAATTCTGAGCTAAAATTTCGAAAAACAAATAAAATATGGGAAGTGTTATTAGAATTTTAATGAATCTGATATGAGAGAGAACTTGGATTATAAGTTTAAGAAACTTTTTTATGTAAAATATCTTAAGTGAGATTTTATATCTTAACATTTAAGCAAAGGATAGAACGATTTTCAAATTGGGAAAAGGGTACATAATTTTATTTACTATGTGAATGGGAGATGGAGAAGAAACCCAAAAATGTGAGAATCAGAATTGAATTCCAGAAAGAATGAGAATCAAATTCAACAAGCATATTCTTTGCTCCAAGCAACCCAATTCCACTAGCACCAACTCAAACTAATCCAATCAAATTTTCCTGCTCATGTGTGGTTGCTTTGGTCACAGTTACAATTCTGTAATAGAATA